ATATGGGAATGAGAAACGGGTAATTTTCTCTTTTTTGTGTGTTTAAATTATGTTTTCAGTCTCCCTAATGGAGGCTGGCAGCATTGGATATGTGCAACTGAAGAAAAAAAAAAGTAAGGAGTTGTAGTGTAGCTTTATACTGAGAACAATATACTGTCTTACCACTGGAACCCAAAGAGGCATAGAAATAAAGGCAGAACAAAAACATATGGAGAAGACAGCTAGAGATTGAAATTAAAAAGACTGAGGATATAGGTTGAGCTGTATACAACAGCATAGGCTAGGACGACATGAGTTGGTAGAGAGCCTATGCTCCCCTGGGGGATAATAGGCAGAAAAAAAAAGAAATGTATCTTCATCTACATTTTTGCTGAAGTTTACAGCCGGAGACCATATAGAAAAAAAAAGCTATATAGCACCAGCACTTTAGCTACTGTTAACTGAGATGCTCAGTAGCTAGATGCCTCTCTGCCAGCTTGGATCATTCAGTTCCAAAACATTTGGCAGCAAATCCCCAAGTGGGACAAAACTTATGAACGCTAGATAGAGACAATCCATAGTGGAGTGGCCATTTGGGTAACCAGATTTCTGGGGTATTTTTTGACCAAATGTAAAAACGTAAATAAAAAACACATTATTCGCTGGCTGTGACTCACAAGGATTATCCCATAACACACTATGCGTTGTTTAAAACTGGCTGAAAGCATTGTTTAAAACTGAAAGAGTTTGGAATTGAGTTGTAATTTGCTCCGAAGGGGTATTTTAATACCTGACCTGCTTTCTCCATGTCATCTTGCATAGTACTGGTACCAGGAAATGTCCTCGAAAGTAAAGATGGCCACAGTTATGTTAACTACAAGCGCAGAGTAATCTATAAAAATATTGGACATGAATGGAATGAACTGTGACCCAGGAGCTTAGCGAAGGTGGGATGAGAGAAAACACACAGGAACAAGCAAATGTTTCGGCAACAGCTTTATCAGAAAAAAAAAACATTTCTTGATACTGGTCTGACTGCAGTCACCCCTGATTTTATCACTTGTAAAAATATAAGTGTGGCGCCTGTGGCCTAGGCGTTGCGAGTCAGACTCGTAATTCCAACGTACTGCTATCGAAACCCACAGCTGGCTGCGTGGTTTTTGTATCATGGTATGGGGCGTCGTAGGTCGACCCAGCCTAAAATGGGTACCAGGATGTATGTCCTGGGGAAGTAAAGACAGCCGGTGTAATGCTGACCACACTTCCCACTTAGTGCCCATTGGTCTGTAAAAATATGGGTGCTCTTCCCATATGCCCGATGCGCCTGAAGGCGTGAAAAGGGACAAGTGGGAGTCGCCGTGGCCGAGCAGCTAGACGCTCGCCGTGGATCGGAAGGTCATGGGTTCGCTCTCTGGCGGAGCCGAACTTACTTCAAAAATGACATTGGGTCCCAGGTCGACCCAGCCTTGAGTGGGTACCGGGTGCAGTCCCGGAAAATAAAGGCGACCGGCGTGATGCTCACCACATCACCAATTTTGTGCCGATTGGTCTTTAAAATATAGGTCTAGCCCTATACGCCTAAAGGCATGGAAAAGGGTCCTTTACTTTTTAAAAAATATAAGTGTAGTACTATTTGGCGGATGCATCAATAGTTTAGCACACACACACACAAAAAAACGTCCTTTGCTTATTGTTACTTTTCAAAATGTCACATAAATGACAACTAACAGATGTATCCATGAACATATATGTACAAAATAAACACATTTACATAAAATAGACATATAATAATGGATCAACGACAACACAGATGAAAGACTTATAGTTCACAATCTACTTAGAAAGCAATATTCCAAAACAAAAAAATGCTTTAAGGTTTGATATATGAACTGCCATTTTACGAGGTCTGTTTCTGAACATTATTCATCAAACAGAAACTACGTTTATAAAGTGCAAGAAAATGTACAGCTCCAAAGATCTTTGTCACAGAAAATACAATATAAACATCATCACAATTTTGTTTTCCATCCACACAATTTTTCTCAATACTTAACACAATCACACAACCTTTGTCAATCATTTATGAAATTCTCACTATATAATTCATGTGATAAACATAATTAATTGTTCCACAACAACACAATACATTAAATCATTGATGAGATAAAATTAATTTTTTTTAAATGTCCATATTAAAACAATGGACAATCCCATTTAGCATTAACCATTCACATTATTCAAAGAAACATTTGATACAAAGTATACTTATTCCCTTGCTATGCTGTAAGTGCCAGACATGGTCACTCATAACAAACCAGAAAAAAAAGTAACCATGGAAATGAGATGCCTGAGAAAGGCTGCAGGAGTGACCGGAAAAGAAAAAAATCAGGAATGAAGTCGTAAAAGAAAAAAAATCAGCATAGAACCAATTCTAAATAACACACAAAAATAAAAAACAAATGGTTTGCCCAGTTGCTCCAGCGTAGTTGATAGCTCGTTGGATAACAGGTGACTATCCCCATGAGTTTTCGGGTCCGAGCTGGGGAATGGCAGAAAAGCCATATACTCCCCCAAATTAACGGTGTATGTGGCACAGAGGATGAAGGGCTTCGATGCTCATGACACTGAGCCAAATGAGCTATGCTAAAGTGCTTCTGGTTCTTTAAAAAAGAGAGAGAGAGAGAGAGAGAGAGAATGCTATGTGATGTCATACCATACAGGGCATACAAACACACACGAGAGAAAGAGATAGAAAATGATGTACATCACAAGGCATACCAAGAAAGTAATGGAAAGATAACATCATAGAAACTACAACAGCTCGATGTGTCTATGATCGAGGCTGTCATAAAAGCAAAAGCAGAAACGTTGTATCTCCCTAAACAAACAAAAAAGAGGAAGTGAAGAAGAACTATTCCCACACTCCTTCCTATATTACTTTCCTACACTAGCCTGCAGTACCACCCTATCACTATTTATATTCAACATTGCCATAATGACAGAGATTTCCCAAATTCCATTCTTTTAACCAGAATTACTCTTAAGAATGTAGTTTCATTCTACATTGCAAGCATTTTATGTTAATGTGTTCGCATACAGTATCTTGATATCTGTGCATAATTAGGTATCAATCTGTGTTATGCAAGTTTTGGGTTCATATTTACAACCTGGCAGTTTTTATAACACAATTTTGGCTTCACAAGTCAAGTAAAAAGTGAAGGACCCTTTTCCATATCTTTTAGACACACTGGGCATTTATTGTTATTATTTACCTATATTGTGTAGACCAATCAGCACTCTGGTGGGTGATGTGGTCAATATAAAACTGGCCGCCTTTTCCTCCCAGGACTGCACCTGGTTCCCATTCAAGGCTGGGTTGGCCTAGGAGCCAAGGTCCTTTAAAAAAAAAGGCTGGCTCCGTCAGGACTTGAACCCACAACCTTCAGATCCGCAGGCAAGTGTCTAGCCGCTACATCATAAAGACTCCCGGCTCACAAATTAACCCAGTCTAAAACGGGTAACAGCAAACATCGTGAGAAATGGGTTGCCAGCATTATGTCAATCACAACACTCACCAAGTGCCGACCCAATTTGGGTCTAGCAGGAAATGCCACAATTTCTGTCTCTTTTACAAATATTTGAATTTACTTATTTCAACTAAATGCTACAAACACTTTCACACTTGTCAAGTGTACAATTCATTCAGTCATTATCCTGCTGTGCCATTATGTGTCACATAGGGCTCACAGTCTATTTCTCTATTCCGTTCTGTCCTGAACAATCACTTCCATATCATGGATTGAATGTTTAATGGTTTTCCTTGGATATCGTTTCCACAATCCCTTAATTTCCCATCTCAGTGCCTGTTTGGCAATTCTTTGTTGGTCTCTTCTCAGAATACATCCAGTATACTGCCATCTTCTCTGTCTTAAACCTGTTGTTACTAGCCGTTGCCCAGACATTTCTCTGATTATTTCTTCACCCCTCTTGAATTCATCCCAGTTTATTTTCACAATTTTTTTCTGGCATTTCTTTTCAAACGCATTTAACTTTTATCTGTTCCATATATTGAGAGGTTCTCCAACTTTCACGGGCATATGTTAAAACTAAAAAAAACATTAGAATTGTAAGTATTTAACTTTTATCTGTTCCATATATTGAGAGGTTCTCTAACTTTCACGGGCATATGTTAAAACTAAAAAAACATTAGAATTGTAAGTATTTAACTTTTATTTGTTCCATATATTAAGAGGTTCTCTAACTTTCATGGGCATATGTTAAAACTAAAAAAAACATTTAACAAGCATTTAACTTTTATTTGTTCCATATATTAAGAGGTTCTTTAACTTTCACGGGCATATGTTAAAACTAAAAAAAACATTAGAATTGTAAGTATTTAACTTTTATTTGTTCCATATATTAAGAGGTTCTCTAACTTTCACGGGCATATGTTAAAACTAAAAAAAAACATTAGAATTGTAAGTATTTAACTTTTATTTGTTCCATATATTAAGAGGTTCTCTAACTTTCACGGGCATATGTTAAAACTAAAAAAACATTAGAATTGTAAGTATTTAACTTTTATTTGTTCCATATATTAAGAGGTTCTCTAACTTTCACGGGCATATGTTGAAACTAAAAAAAAACATTAGAATTGTAAGCATTTAACTTTTATTTGTTCCATATATTAAGAGGTTCTCTAACTTTCACGGGCATATGTTAAGACTAAAAAAACATTAGAATTGTAAGTATTTAACTTAATTCTAAAACTATACAATTTAGAGTTCCACATTTCATTCAGGCTTTTAAAAGCTGCTGACGCCTTGCCTATATGTGTCATAATTTCTGTCTTTTTAATTCCTTGACTATCAAAATTACTACCTTAATAAGTAAACTGTTACTCTATAATTTCATTTGCCTCTCCAGTTACACCTACATGATCTATTTTACTGGTATCTTCAATATATTTATCTTTTTCATAACTTATTTGCAGTCACTGTATAGAATTACTTGTCCAATATTTACAAAAAACACTCCTTTCTGAAGATGTAGTCAATCCCTTCATTGACATCATGGACATATCTGTGTGGTTTGGACAGTTCGGGCTCATGAGCGATATCTCTGTGACCATGGTAAACATCGCTGTTGGCGTTGACGTTGAGTTCCTCTCCTGGTTTGTGTTTGTAGACCCCGGTGCCCACTAGGAGGCTGTGGCAGTTTTCCACAGTTTGTTCGTGCAGCTCTTCACTTTTGGGGATGATGCGAGACACGGGAAGGTCAACTGAGTTGGCATTGTCATCTTTTCTCTTGATGTAGCGGTCGTACAAGTTAGCTCCAACAATATCCACATGTGGGTTGTCGCTGAAAGCGAGAGAGAGAGAAATAGCAAACATTAGTACTGGTGAATTAAGATATTTATATATCTACTTTCTTGAGTCGGCTCTGTGGCTAAGTCAATGCGAACGCTTAGTAATGTCGGGTTCGATCCCAGCTGCAGGCCATGCGCCTTGCGTTGGTTTCGACAGTGGTATCAAGAAAGCCGGCTGTCCAGAAAGCAGTGGCAAACTACTGGACATAAATTTGGTTCTGCAACGTCCTGTAAAGGATACGCAACTAACCTACTTTCTTGAGACCTCAGAGATGTGGTTTCACAGAAGAATCTAAGAATACTTTGGACAGCCAAAAATAGCAATTAAGAGGTTTTGAAAGAGGAGGGAGCCCGAAGACAACTTATCACAGACATCAGAAGGAGACAGTCATAATTTTTTGGCCATGTTATGAAAAGATGGAAAATAGAACATGTTGACCAATGGAAAGATTCGTGGAAGGAGGCATAGAGGAAGACAACGAGGGAAGATTCTTGACAATCTTGTTGCATGGCATGGAGGTGTGTCGGCACATGAACTGACAATAGCTGCAGGAGATCGCAGATTGTGGACAGGTATGATCACCCATGCCAGTCGGCAAGGCACCTGATGATGATGATAATACGTCTACTGAAACAATTATTGTTCTTTGTATGTATGCGTGTATGTGGACATGCGTGTATGTGGACATGCGTGCATGTGTTCCTATCCCCTACTGCTTAGCCATGAAGTGTCGCAGAGATGCGTTAGATGTGGTTTCCTGTCTTTTGCTAGTTGCGTAGCTTATGTTAATCTACCGCATTTCTGTATTGTCTCTTTCACCCCTCCATCCATCTCTTTCTTGGATGGTCCCTTGACCTGTAGCCTGCTGTTCTCTTGTACTAGGTCCCTGGACCTGTAGCCTGCTGTTTGCTTGTACTAGGTCCCTTAAACTGTAGCCTGCTGTTCTCTTGTACTAGGTCCCTTGACCTGTAGCCTGCTGTTCTCTTGTACTAGGTCCCTTGACCTGTAGCCTGCTGTTTTCTTGTACTAGGTTCCTTGACCTGTAGCCTGCTGTTCTCTTGTACTAGGTCCCTTAACCTGTAGCAGGCTGTTCTCTTGTACTAGGTCCCTTGTCCCTTCACCTGTAGCCTGCTGTTCTCTTGTACTAGGTCCCTTGTCCCTTGACCTGTAGCCTGCTGTTCTCTTCTACTATACTCCAGCTGCTGGTTGGTTTTGTTACACTCTGACCAGATGACCAAACCATTTGACTTTAACATTTAGGTGTTGCAAACAGATGAATCTGATCTGCACAAAGTTGAATCTTACATGCCAGTCATATAAGCCTTCAGTGCACAGGATGTCTTTCATAGTTTGTCTTCTTAAGCATTTGCCCATTTAAAAAAAGGGTGGTTGCACACTGTATTGTGGTTTACAGCTAGGTCGCAATTGCTGCGCCCCTTCAACGGACGTTAAAATAAAGGCACCAGCAGTCATACTGGTTAAGGACCTATTCTCATCAGAATTATTTAGAATTTATTTAAAAAGTTAAAACTGCCAATTATTGCCTTTATTATACCACTTTTGGGGGGGGGGGGTGGGGAGGGGGGGGGGGGCTTTGAGCCTGAGGATTTACGGCCGCATGACTAGTGCTGTTGCCATGACTGTGCAGGTGAGGATTTTATTTTTTTCCCAGACAGAAAAATCCCCAGCCTTATTGAGGATTGGAACCTGGGTCTCCTGCTTTAGAGCCCAGGGTTCTAACCATTTGGCCAGCCGCTCCTCTATTAAAAAAAGGTAAATTACCCTTTTCACACTTCTAGCGCAGCTGCAAAAAAAGTAAAAAAAAAAAAAAAAAGTCAGGAAACCCTTCCCACGCATTCAAGCTTACTGTACATATAGGGCTAAACCTATATTTTATAGATTAATCGGCACTTCATGGGTGATGTTGTCAACTTCACGCAGGCCATATTTACTTCACAGGACTGCACCCGGTACCTGGGAGCCGTGGTTATTTTGTAAGAAATCCCAGTTTTGTCAGGACCCGAACCCATGACCTATCAATCTGCAGCCGAGCGTTTAGCCGCTACAACCCGGCGACTCCTGCATCTGTAGTACTGGGCCTATATTGTTATGTTTTCACAGACCAGTCTGCACTACAGCTCAATATCCAGCCTAGGAAATATTTCAGTATAAAGCACAAGACATTTTCTTCACTTTGAAGTTTAAACATTAATTTAAATACGCAAGCATGTATCATATTTTTTTAAATATTGACCGTAAATGTTTTTTTTGTTTTTTTTCACAACAGTGCAATAAGTAAAGTAAAGTAAGGAAAGGACCCTTTCCACGCCTTTAGGTGTATGGGGCATATAGGGCTAGACCTATATTTTTATTGACCAACGTCACAAGATGGGTGATGTGGTCAGCATCACGCCGGCCGCCTCTACTTCCCGGGATTGCACCCGGTACCCACTCAAGGCTGGGAGCCAAGGTCATTTTTGAAGAAAAGTCCGTCTCCACCAGGGAGCGAACCCACGACCTTCCGATCCGCGGCGCGCGTCTAGCCGCTCTGCCACGGCGACTCCCAACAGTGCAATAGACAGAATTTATATTTTTAACAGATAAGAAAAACCGAAACAAAATGTTGACAGTTACCCGAAGAAATAGAGTCGTCTGATTGGTCTGGTGATACCCATCTGTTTTGCAATTTTTGAAATGGTGTGTTCGGCAAATCTGTACGTTATCTCGCAGGGCTTGCCAACAAGACTTGTGTAGGCCAGGTCTTTCCCTGTCAGTTTCTGAGATAAAATAACAGTCATTTATATGATAGCTGACCCACAGACAGCAATGATAATCAATTAAATACAACAGTGAATGTTACGTTCCCCCCATCTGGGTCTGCCCCGTCCATTTACACACTCTTGTCACTTTTGATTGGTGCTTGCTCAGGCTCGTCAACTTTGCTGAAGGTTACAGGGATGTCCCGGTGTACTGTTTGCTTTAAAAGCATTCTGCGTTGTCTTCCATTTATGTTTTCCTTCCCAGAAAGAGAATGCGTGTTACGTAGGCTGCAGAACTCTCGTAGGGGGGTTTGTGTTAGGGCCAGTTCTGCATGGTATTGAAGCGTTAAAAGCACTGACATCCTGAAATATACACCACACGATATCAACGGCTGATGTAGAGAGCGCAGAAAGCTTTCCGAGCAAATAGTAAACTGGGACACCCCTGTAACCTTCAGCAAAGTTGACAAGCCTAACGAACTATGAATGAAACCTGACCTAGTGAGTAAATGGGCGGAGCTAACCCCGATGAGGGGAACTCCGTAGAATTTAAGCATACAACAAATTAAAGACTAATAGCTAGGATACTTTCTTTGTCATTGAGGTGCACTATAATCTTGCGGTAATCTTGATATAGTTATCGCAGTAAATTAGCACTGGTTCCATTCCAACATATTTCCTGATTCTGTCATTTCTAATCCAGTCTCTTGTTACAATTAGGATTCATTGAGGACATTTCATTTCCATGGTTTCAATTTGTCCTTTTGTGTGTTAAATTAAAAGCCTGGCCCTGTTAACACAATGTTGGTAAAACTGCTGTCATTATTGGACAATTGTCATTTACCTGTACGGACTGGTCTTCTTCTTCTTCTTCTTCTGCGTTCATCCGAAGATGTAATTGTGTTGTGTCAGTTAACAGCATGGCTGTGATATTTGCACCTTTCGGCCAACACCTACGACTTCTGCCGGCATTTGTTGACTGGGTTAGCCTTCCCGGTTAGTTTCTGGGGACATAGCAGTCTCATTGTTGTGTGGTCATCTTTATTTCCCAGGTCACAGGTGGTGCCCCAATCAGGCTTGTCCAGAGAGGCCACATAATGCTGATCAGCCCTCAAGAGAAGACAGGGGCAGAACATGAGCATTCCCTGCCATCCAAGGAGGCTTCCATAAATGCAGAGCTAATACATGGTGCTCTGGTACTGGGCTCATCCAAGGAATCGTCACATCCTGCTAGTGGCTGTTTAACCTCACTTCCATATATTGAACATCTCATACATCATAGGCTATCTCTTTTCTAGCCAACAGTATGCAGCCTGCAGACCTGGGATTTTATTTACCTACACCACAAAATGAGTACTTTGCTTCTTTTGCATGTTAGACTTTTACTGCAGTGGACTTCCTCATCCACTATAGTTTTGCGTGGTTTACAGACTGGTCTGATTTCTCTCTTTATTGTTTCTCCCAGAAAGCTGTTATCCACTGCCAGTTTGCTGGGCCTGTCAGTTTCAGACAGTATTCAATACCCTATTTTTATTTCATCTTTGCATTCACCGGCTGTAAACTTCGGCCAAAAGTCCGGTTTGTTCATCCACATGTGGACTTTAGTCTTGTTCTAAGTTTTGTGTGCACATCCATTTTACAGATCTGGTCTACTGGTATCCAGACTTTTGGTTCCTCAATTCTTAGATAAAGGTACTTCAAAGGAAACACCCTTAGTCGACTTTTACAACACGCCTGTTAGAGCAGCAGTTGGTCTATCCCCTCCAGGGCTCCGTCAATCCAGCATTAAAAATGGGTATCGGGAAATGTTCTTGAAAGTAAGGGGGTCAAAGTAGTGCTGATCAAATCAGATAATCAGACCCGACTGGTCAACTGTTTTGTTGAAGAAATATGATCTGATTTCATCTTTTTCTTTTGTTGTCTCATTGATACCAGGTTGTAGCTCAGTATCGTGGCTTTCTGTATTTCTCTTGCTCTTCTCGGGTGGCTTGGGAGGTGGAATTGTTCATCTTTTTCTCAGGTTTCTGCTATACCATTTGTCCATGCGAGTTCATAGAGGCAACCCACCTGATTGTGTGATCTGAGCATACAAAACCAAACGCAAAGAAGAAGAAGAAAGTCTTTCCCTCGCATTTCTCCCAGATGTTCTGCTGTAAAAAAGTCTCATATGCAGTTTGATCTGGCTGCATCCTAACTTGATGGCTGAACCATTATATTCTTGGTCTTTCAATATAATCCAGACATGGTCTTTTTCTGACTTTCTCTCTAATGCTGGCATTCAAAACCCTGTCTCTTCTTGTGTTGTTAGTGACCTTGCAGAGATAGCGCATTTCACCAACCAGGTCTGTTTTTTCCCTGCCCCACCGAGCGACAGGCCTAGCCAGCCGTCAGTTCGGTCACTGACTGCTACTACCCAAGAAATATTGAATACATACAGGAAATATCGGATTTCTTAATAATAAAAAATGTGTATCAATGGACAACTCAAATTAAACATGCTTGCTGATGCCAAAATTATGTTCATGTTAACCTGAGTGTTCTTCTGAGGCGAGTTTGCATTAACAAGGTTTTTCTGTATGTGCACTTGTTTCTGGTATTTTATTTTTATTTTGCTCTCTATTGTGCCGTCCTCCATGATCATACTTCCTAGATCTGAAATTCATGAACTTGTTTTAGGCATGTACTGTTAACTATCTGTCTTCTTTTTTTTTCTTCACGTTCACCAGCTGTAAACTCTGGCGGAAAGTTCTGGCTGTTCACCCACTTCTGGACTGCAGTCCTGTTCCAGAACCCGAGGGTTGTGTTTGCATCCGTTTTACAGTTCTGACTCATTTATATGCAAACTGCTGGTTCCTTGCCTCTCAGGCAGATGCACTCCAACTTCGAAGGAAGCTCCCAATTAGTCGACTCTTACAACATGCTTTTGGGTAGGCAGTGGCTCTATTCTTGTTCTCCCTACAATAGGATCCTGGAACCCATATGGGGATAACTATCTGTAATGGACCAAGACTTTCGCTGGCTGGAATTATATCAGTTCAAGTTTGATTTATCTGCCACATACATACCTTATACAATGCTTCTAGACACAACAGAAAAGCACCATGACCATAGCGTGGCATGCAGGCCTCTGCCATAAAGACAAGATCCATGTTGCAGGCAATAACAGGAATCTGGGGCACATTGTGAAGATCTGTGGGAGCATGGGTTGGTTTGCCCTCGGTCAAAAGCAAATCAATGAGCAGCTGGAGACTTGTTTCCCAGCGACAAGGTTCTCCAATCAGAAGAATTACTGTGGAGAATCAAACATTTTCAAATTAGAAATGTCTTCTTTTACTTCTACTTTGCATTGGGGCTGCGTGATCTCGAGGCATGGTGTCCGCCTCGAGTGCTAGAGGTTCTGGGTTCAATCCCTGGTAAGGGTTGGGATTTTTCACATGGACTTGGACTTCTAGTAATCCCCCCTGATCTCTGGGATGTGAGATCGAACGCCCGTGTGCATTGTTGTGCATGTAAAAAAAAACTTGACAGTTGGAAATCGAAAAGAGTAGCCTAACGGCGCTGTCCGGGGAAATTTTTAGTTAAAAATCTACCTAAAGTATCTCAGGAACCTCGGCGGTGCTACAGAGCCTGTACAGAGCAGCTTCGGATTCAGAGTTAGAAGAAGAAGGGAGCACTTATGGGTTACTACCCATGTGCCATGATGTTGATCAGTTGTTCAAACTTCAAACTTCTTTGCATTAACGGTCTGTAAACTCTGACAGAACGCCCTGGATGTTTGCCCACTTCTGGAATTCAGTCTTATTCCAGAACTTAAGTTTTGTATGCACATCTGATTTACAGATCTGGCAATTTGTATGCAGACTGTTGGATCCTTACCTCTCTGACAGATGCACTCAGATCTAGCATGAAACCCTGTAATTAGCAGACTCTTACGACAAGTTTATTGCTTCGGTGGAACGCCTTGGATGTTTGTCCACTTCTGGATGTTGGTCTTGTTCCAAAACTTGAGTTTTGCATCCATTTTACAGATCTGGCTAATTTGTATGCCCCACAGGGAAAACTGGCAATTTAAGAAAACAAATTTAACTGTAAAACATGGTATCTGGGATATATTTCTTCGGACTAAGATCTGAAAAGTTAGGAAAAAAAGCTAAAAATACTGCTTTCTTCATCATAAATGTAAATCATACAAATCAAATGGCTAAAAATGGCACAAACATGAACACTCACCATCAATTTTGGGAAAACTGGGATTTTCAGTGTAGTCTGTATTTGCCTATCGGAGACAAAATAAAATGATTACAACAATAACCTTGTACAGTCTTATTATGTAAAATACATACCTTCCTTATATTTTTGCCAACCAATGCAAGCTAAGTCAACCTATCTTTTACTACCATGCATAACTCACTTCATATATTACTCCCATACTAATGCCTGAAAGCTGTGAAATTTTTCACCGCCCATCACAGGAATTGATCCCTGGTTAACATTGAGAACCACATAGTAAAACTATGTCATAAACTAAGCCACAAAGGCACTTCACTGTGCTGAAGTTGAAAAAAAAAAACAATCCCATATAGCCTGGTCTGTCTGCAGAGAGAGTTGCTTGTCTGTGGTGAGACTGCTGCATCGCTGCTCAGGCAGATGTGCTGCGACTTCAGAGGATAAGTTCTAAATTAAGTCGCCTTTTAGGACATGTTTGTTAGGCAGGCAGTGAAAATTTTAGAAACAGCGCTCACTTCCCTAGATTTATTACAACCACTACGGCTTATTGTAGTTAGAAATGTAGACATTCCGGTGCTTGTGCTGAATATTTTGATGCTATTGATAATGTTTATTACTTGATGTGTGAATGAAATGATGTAAGAATGGAGGGAGACCTCGAGGGGCAGAATGTTAGACAGTCCTGCGTGCCCGATTCTTAACCCTTTAAAAATAAAGTTGGTTCATTCGTTTGTTCTACTGCCCGGAATTCATGCAGGGAGCTCTAGCAATGACCTTCCAACCCCCACTGCCTCTTTTTATCTGGAAAAAACACAAATCTGATCCATGAACCTGGTGATTATGTGAGATGGTGAATCACGACCGCCTTTACTACCCCCATATTGCTCTGGACAAAACAGCCGTTCAGTGGGTGAATCACACAATATATTATGCCTGCCATTGTATTTCAGGACATTTCCAAATACCAATTTCATGCTGGGTCGACCTGGCCGACCAGGTCAATTATAAATATCCACCAGGATGTGTACAGTTTCACCCTTACAAACTCTGTAGTTCTAGCAATGACAATCCCAAGTGATCACTTGCACTTACAAACCAAAGGATGGAGTTCGAAACCAACCTCGCAAGCTTCCCGTGATGGTCTATATGCTCGTATTTTCAAAGGGAGCCAAGAACAGCCTCAGTGCCTGGCTAACATGACTGTCATAGAAGACAACTTATTGCTGGAATTTGATGCACAGGACCAACAATTCTGAAACAAGATCCCAAGATCCAAAGTCCAGAAGTGGGCAAACATGCACAACTTTCCATTAGAGTTTACAACCGGTGAGCGCTAATCAGTAGAAGAAGTTAGTGCCAACAATAGTTTAAGAAAAATTGTATAACAGAATAACACAATAATGGAGTACTTGAATAGATCCAAGTGAAAGGAGATCACTAACAGTCCTGATACTGGGCAGAACACACACTGATAAAATCTGTTAATAGTATAACTTAAAAGGCTTTTAGATGAAACTCACAGGTCAAATGAAATAGAGAGAAATCTAAAACATACATAAATTAAAATTATTAGAAGCAGAGATAATAATCTGGGAAGGACAAAGAAGTAGTTGAAAACTTACCACAGTGGCTCTGTTTTGATGGTCAACCATGTCCAGCAGTGGGTAGGCCTCCTTGATATCTTCAATTGTGCATAAATCAGTAAAACCGAGACTGCACTGGGTTAAGGTGAAAATGAGCAAGTTGCAAATACTTAAGTTTTATTTACCATTTCTTCTTCTTCTTTGCGTTCCCGGTTGTAACTCTAGGGGAAAGGTCTGGCTGTTCACCCACCTCCGGACTTTAGTCTAGGTCCAGTATCTGAGTGTTGCATTTTACAGACCTGACTTATTTGATTTGCAGATGGCTGGTTCATCATCAAATGCCTAGCCAACTGGCATAGGCGATCAAGCCTCTCCGCAACCTGCGATCTACAAAAGCATTTAATCAGTTCATGTGCTGATGTCCCTCCATGCCATGACAAAAGGCTGTCAAGGATTGTCTCACATTGTCTTCCTCTTATCTTTCCATCCACAAATATCTCCAGTGGTCACTATATGTTTCTCTCTTTTCATAAAAAGGTCTAAAACAATTAATAATGTCTTGTCTTTTTCTGATGTCTGTGATAAGTTGTCTTCAGGTTCTCAGCACTTGCAAAACATCTGGGTTATTCATCCCACCAGCTCAAGGGGAAACTTGAGCATTCTACTGTAAAACCACGTCCTGAATTGTTTAGCTTATTTATTCTTCTTTCTTCTTTGCGTTCACCAGCTGTAAACTCCGGCAGAAAATTCTGGTTGTTCATCCACTTCTAGACTTTAATCTTATTCCAGAACCTGAGTTTTGCAAATCCATTTTACAGATCTGGCTCATCTGTACAAAGACTGATGGTTCCTCGCCTCTCTCAGATAAACTCTGACTTCCAAGGAAACCCTTTATTATTTGGTTCTTATGCTTGTTAGGGAGACTGTGGTTCTATTCTCCCCCCCCCCCCCCCCCCCCCCCAACAATGGCTTCCTGGAATGCACATTGGCAGCCTGTTTATTACTCTTTGAGTCCCAAAGGGTTTAGCATCACAGGCCCAAGGGGTAGTCAAAAGAGACGTAAAATCGGCACATCATGTGTTCACTGGGCTTCTAGGCAGTAACCTATAAACGTATGATGCGTTCCTTGGAACTCAAAGAGTTAATTGGCCAGGATTCACAGACATTTTTCTACTGTAGGGACAAATCTGAGTATAAACCTAACAATGAAGTTAAATGCTAAAAAAAAGATATTTACTTAAAATTCAGCCCAACAATGAAGTTAAATGCTAAAAAAAAAAAAGATATTTACTTAAAATTCAGCCCAACAATGAAGATGAATGCTAAAAAAAGATATTTCCTTCAAATTAAGTCAAGGTATTACTGTGCCAAAAAGATACTCTTTTGCAATCTCCAGTCTGTGTTCTTGCCCAATGACCAGTGTGTGTTTGTTATGAAATTCACGGAGAAGTTTGGCTGGTGTTGGAGCATGGATAACATGATCTGGGGAGACCTGTACACACAGAAACAATACAAGTAGATAATTATCCACAACATTACAACAGTCTTCTTCTTCTTAGCGTTCACTGACTCAGGCGTAAAGTTCTGGTTGTTTGCCCACTCCCTGACTTTAGTCTTGATCCAGATTTTGAATTTTGTGTTTTACAGATCTGGCTTATTTATATTCAGATTGTTGGTTCCTTGCTTCTCAGGCAGATGCATTCCGACTTTGAAGAAAACATCCCTAATTAGTCGCAACAAACACCTGGTGAGTTGCCTGGCACTGAATGAGTTCAGTTAGTTGCGTATCTATTATAGGATGTCGCAGAACCATCCCCAGCATTTTTGGGCTTTTGTAGTCTTTCGAGGCAAATTTTATGTTTAGTAAATACTAATCTTTAATGAGTGAATAAGTAAATAACCTTTAATTTTCCACTGCTCATCTTGAAAACTATCTAAAGGCTTTAGCACATTCTTTACAGAATATTGATTGCCTATAGCTCACTTGAAGGAAACTCAGTCCCTCGCAAGCTCTCCCACTTATACATACACACCAGCGAACTGGTTGGCTTGCCAGTGGATGACTTCGTCGCAGGTTGGGACTGTATTGGGTCTGTCTCCTTTGATTGCTTCAACAATGCAGGAGTCCTTTTTAGGGCTTTGGTGGTGTGCAATGTTAAGCCATTTTATATGGTGCAAATAACCTAGTCACAATTATAACCTAAAGCTCCCCCTTTGGTGATGCTAGCTGACTTGATGATTTTTTTTTTTTAAGCAAAGCAAGCCAAAGCTCTCCCACCTCATGCACTTCCTGCAAAGGGTGTGCCTCTCATATCTTATGCTGGCTGGCACCTGCCTCTCTCACCTGGTACCGTGCTATCAACTGTTCTTTTCAAGCTACCTCAACGTTTGATACGGTCAAAGAATTTCAGTTTCTGAGACCAGATGTTTACAAGCCAATGTTTCTTGATGTTCAGATCTTTTAGAGTGTCTTTTCTTTTTGGTCCACCATATTCTTCTTCTTCTTCGCGTTCACTGGCAGTAAACTCCAGCAGAAAGTTCTGGTTGTTCAAACACCTCTGGACTTTAGACTTGTTCTAGAACATAAGTGTTTACAGATCTGACTTACTTGTATGCAGACTGTTGGTTCCTTGCCACTCAGGCAGATGCACTCCAACTTTCAAGGAATCCCCATAATTAGTTGACCCTTACGATATGCTTGTTGGGAGGCATTGGGTCTATTCTTGTTTTTCCCCAATGGGGACCCAGAACACACATGGGGAAACACACCATATTCTAAGAATCTATTCTTGTTTTTCTCCTCAATGGGGACCCAGATCCAGTTGTGTTCTTCTTCTTCTTCTTCTTCACTTCCTCTTTTACCGCTGTGGGTGTCGAGGGAGATATAAGGTTCTGTTTCTAGCTCTTCTGGCTGCCTCGACCATAGGCACATCGTACTGTTGTAGAGTTTCTCTGATGTTATCCTTCCAACTTGTTCTTGGTCTACCCCGTGCTCTACGTCCTTCTTCTCTTCCCATGTATGCTTTGTATGGTATGGTGTCACAAGGCATTCTCTCTAAGTGGGCAAACCATTTCACTTGTTGTCTTTGTATGTAATCCAGAATTGGTTCTGTGCCGACTTGTTCTCTTATGATCTCATTTCTGATCTTATCTCTTATGGTCACTCTTGGAGACCCTTCTCAGACATCTCATTTCCGTGGTTACTAATTTTCTTTTATGGTTTGTTGTGAGTGACCATGTCTGGCACTGGTAGCACAGAGTTGGAATAAATATGCTTTGAATAAGATGTCTCTTTGTGCTGATTGGGATTGTCTTATGCTGTAAGAGGGGGGCTAGCTGTCCCAATACTTGGTTTGCTTTACTGCATCTAATGTCAATTTCTTTATCCAATTTCCCATCTTCGGTAAATGTAGTTCCCAGATATTTAAACTCAGCTGCCTGTTTAATACCTTTGTATTCTATTGTTATGTTTAGATCTGTCTTATTTTTTCCTATTGACATTACTTCTGTCTTTTCAGTGTTGATTCTCATATTATTTGTTTTACATTCTTCATTCATGGATGTAAGATGTTGTTGCAATTTCATGGCTGTATCTGCTATCAAGGCCTGGTCATCTGCAAAGAGTAATTCGTTGATCTTACTAAGATCTTCATTCATGGGCTTGGCATTCTTGCATATACTGTCGATGTAGGTGATAAACAGCAGTGGTGATAAGACACACCCCTGTCTTACTCCAGATGTCACTGTGAAAGGATGAGATGTTCCCTGATTTATTCTAACTACACTTCTACAATCCCTGTATAAACTTTTGCACACTTCGATGAGGTGTTCGCTTACTCCATATCTTGCCATTATTACCAGTTGTGTTAAAAGTAGTAAAGACCTTTTTCCATGGCACAGGTGTACATGGCATATAGGGCTAGAACTATATTTTATAGACCAATCAACACTCTGTGGGTGATGTGGACAACATCATGCCAACTGTCTTCACTTTCCAGGACTTTACCTGGGACACATTTGAGGCTGGGTCAACCTGGGAGCCAAAATCATTTTTGAAAAAACTCTGGCTCCAATAGGACATGACATCATGACCTTCGAATCCATAGGCGAGCATCTAGCTGCTACACCACCTCAGCTTCTAATCAGTTTTGCATGTGCACATTATGTTTTTTCTTCTTTAAATTCAGAGGAAGGTTTTGATCTTCACTGTGATCCTGGACAGACAGCACTACATTTTCTAGTCACTGGCACTATTTTATAAAGGGTTAGTGTAAACAATATTTCACTTACATCAATTTCAAACCAACTGCTTATCTGCCTTGCTTTATCAGCACTCCTATTGCAGGCATTGGTCACAAATGCAACAGGGACTTTGAGCTTGCCATCTGCATCTTTCAATTTATCAATGGCCTTCTTTGCAGGTTCAAGGGGCGTGCTTCCTCGTGCTAACACACCATCAACATCAAAAAGGATGCCAAAGTCAACCTACATTGAAAATGGTTAGTTATTAAATAATAAATTCAACTGGCTGTTGAATCAATTAAAACTCATGTATGGATGTCTGTTTATGAGGTTCTTTTCCTTTTTTTCACCCTCATCTTGGTTACTCATGGGGAGTTCCTGGTAAAGACCAAAAGTAGAGGGGTATTCGGATGTGAAATGAACACTGAATAACACTAATCCTAAACACACCCCCCCCCCTCCCCATAATACTGGACTTTCCAGAACCCCCCCCCCCCCCCCCCAAAAAAACCTCCTATAATACTGGACTTTTCCAGAAACCCCCCCCCCCCCCCCCCACCTTCTATAATACTGGACTTTCCAGAAACTACCCCACCTCCTATAATACTTGACTTTCCAGAACCTACTCTTCCCCCCCCCCCCCCCCCCCAATACTGGACTTACCAGAAACTACCCCCCAACCCCCTTCCAAAATCTCAAGAGTGCCCAAGATGCGATGAAACATTCAACTTTAAAAAGTGAAAGACTCTTTTCAATGTCACATCAGGCACATGGTGCCGCCTCCTATTTTTATAGACCAGTTAGCCCTCAGTGGGTGATAAGGTCAACATTACACTAGCTGCCTTTGCTTCCCATGACTTTACCTGGTACCCATTTTATGTCCACAGTGCCTTGTACAAACGTTTTCATTTGATTTATTGCAAGTTTCTTTATATGTGTAATGCACACTGGATCTCATGTTTTCGTTTTTAAAGATACTTAAAATTCTACAATTTTCCGAAAATGTAATGAACTAATTAATAATTATGCGAGTTAGAAAATTATTTCACAAACGCACGAAACCTGTTTTGTTATTCTTGTCGAAAAACACCTGGATTCCTGAAGAATCAACACACGCGTAGACAGAAAACTGAAGGTGCATTTAGGAAAGCGGTTACCGTAGACAACTCTGTGACGGCACGTACTGCACCAATACTGAAAACGTAAAACATGTAGTGCAGCTCCTTGGATGAAACATTTTAAACTCATCTTGTTTTCAAATTCTTGTTAAACCTTGTCTAGCAGAAGTCGCGACAACAGGAAGTGACCTTTGACATCACAGGTCACAGGTCTTGGTTGTGGCTTCAAACATTCAGGTGCAGAGTACTGTCTCCACTTGTTACTTGTTGTTGGTAGAGGCTCATATCCAGCATGGAAAGATCATTAAATACGATACAGCTTGCAATAATTTGCGAGCCGCTTGATAGACCTTTGTGGGCCAGATTTGGTCTTCGACCGCCAGTTGAATAGCCCAGTCCTGGCACATCGGTCCGACCCATACGTGCTTTGACCTCTGATGCAGCAGCCATTTCAGTGTCTCCGCGTTTAACATAACCTGTAGAACTGTAGGGCTTGATGTGAACTTACATTTCTGCTTTCTTTACCCCGTTTTATACCCATTGGTTCATTGTCTGAGAGGGGGGGGGGGGCTGCGAGGTCTCGAAGCAAATGTTGTTTACAGTGTCCAGTGGACATGTGGGCGTGAATTGCGTGGGTTTTTGAAATCGTTACAACGCAGTGGTCTAATGTGTATAAGACCTTATTTGTGAGCATATCTCACGTTGTGCGCACGAGAAAGCAACACAATTTGCGGTGAACACTATTCACTGCCTACGCAATTGAAACCCTAAAAAAAGACAACGCTACACAAAAACGACCAGTTCATTTTCAAGCAGTCACAAATGGCGCCTCTATCGATAAATTTAAGGAATGTTGCTATTGCATCTAAACGTACATCTAAACGTGACTTTAGCACCGGTTCCAAGCCACTGATTCAGTTGAAGACCGACATCGCAATGGACGACCCAGAGTGACAACAGCAGCGGAGAATAACTTTATTCTGCTTCGTCACCTCAGAGACGGGTTTACAACAGCTTCCTCAACTGCACAGGCATTTCCTCCAAGACGTCATGTGTCTGATCAAACTGTTCGGAACAGACTGCATGATGTTGGACTTTAAGCACGACGACCACACAGAGGACAGGACAACGCCAGACCCCATTCTGCACAGTTGACCACGCAGTTCCTGGCTACCAATAACATTCAAACCCTTCCCTGGCCTGTCTGCAGACATGAGTCCGATTGAGCACTCGTGGGATGGGCTGCAAAGACGTGTTTGTCGCCGAAGCGTTCCTCCAGCCAATTGTGTGATCTGTTCAATGCACTCCAGAAAGAATGGGTAGTCATCCCACAGGACCGCATCAGACATCTGATCGCATCTATGCCCAGGAGATGCCAGTCAAACAGGAGATGCCAGTCACTGATCCATGCAAGACGAGGCCACACACCATACTAACGGGAAAGGCCTACGCTTAAAAACTATCGTGACCCAGTTGCAAAAAAAAAAAAAAATGTCAATTCATTGATGGAACCCTAAGTTATTCTTGTGTGAAATTTGAGTAATTTCACTAGCTGCATTACAAAGATACAGAATGTCAAAATTGTGAGTATGTTTGTTTCTTTCAGTAACTATGCGTTTTTTTTTTAAACAGTATATAAGGGATGATTGTATACATACATTTATACAAATAAAAAATATTATTAACAGTGCTGCTTGAATAAATAAGACCTCCCCTGAAATTAAGCCCCGGACCAAAAATCAGCTTAACATCCGTTCCTATTTTCGTGGAAAGCTGGTAGGAAATGTATATCATTTACGAAGTAATCTCACCATACAGTGAGTCGCACGGTACGAATGTTAAGAGCCACTTTAACTGCTTACCTCCACGTTTTCAAGCACATCAGATCCCATGGAAACATCAGAGTTATCTGGTGAGGACAATATAAAAATGCACATAAATGCTCTTTAGACGAATACATTTCGATAGTAGTGGCAACGTCGTTCTCCAGACTTCTATGATATAAAATATAAAAGAATAAAATGGTTTGGTCATCTGGTCAAGATATAATAAAATCAGCCAGCAGACAGTCTGTAGCTCTCGGTTCCCCGACTTGCACGGTTCCTCCCCAACTTGTTCAGTTCTCACCCCCCCCCCCCTCCCCAACTTGTACAGTTCTCAGCTCCCCGACTTGCATGGTTCCTCCCTAATTTGTGCAGTTCCGGGTTCCCCGACTTGCACGGTTCCTCCCTAATTTGTGCAGTTCCCGGTTCCCCGACTTGCACGGTTCCTCTCTAACTTGTGCAGTTCCCGGTTGCCCGACTTGCACGGTTCCTCTCCAACTTGTGCAGTTCTCGGTTCCCCGACTTGCACGGCTCCTCCACAACTTGTGCGGTTCTCTCGGTTCCCCGATTTGTACGGTTCCCAGCCCACGAGAGATGAGTTGAGTCGAGTTGATTCAAGAATTGACATCACAGCACTCGGGGCATTCCCATGCATGATCCATCCTCAGCAGCCAGGGCAAAGTTCCAATACTGATGGTACCGGTCACAATTTGGTGAAATGTCCTTGCTTTTCTCTGAGTGTAGTCAGCCGGCCAGACTCTCTGGTTACACCCAAGTGCCTCATTCTTTCCAGGCCATAATAATCTTCTTTCTCTACTGATTCCGTTGCTTGTTCCCAAAGGCCCTCCCATCAGAGATTAGACAGGTAAATTAAACGAACCATTTCACGCCATGAGAGACATCGGGCATATCCAATGGGAATTCTGAACCATGACCTCTGAGTCTCAGGGAAGCTCGTTAGCCACTGTGCTGTTCTGCCCCAACAAAATACACGTATGCGTATAAACAGAACTAATAACTTATTATGTTTTAATTTGTTCACATTTTTTACAATATTTAATTGCCATATGATTCATTCTTCCATGCTATGCTTACAATCAAGTTACATTGATTAAGCTAGTCTAGAACTTCCAAATTGTAAGGTGTCCGTTTTAAGATAGTGATGAATGTCCTTTAGTGTATATTCTGCATCGCCTTTACATGTTAATCTCTGGACTCCATGGGTCACGAGTTATCTTGATAACTTTGCAGGTCAATTGATTGCGGTGTCCTTGTTTGCAGGTCCGGTGTCGGGTCACCGGGGATTTAGGTGCAACAATATTTCTTTTCAGTTAGTCTTCTTCAAAAGCATTTTTTAATAGCTCGCCTATTTCATATATCTAATTTTACTATAATTCAAAATAAACAATCTACTTTATTTGTTTCATTTACTGGATTAGGTAAGGACGATAATAAGAGTAACAATAAAACATGGATAATCCCCGTGCAAGTTGCAAGGCCCTAATGGGTGGAGGGGGAGAGAGCGCCATTACCAAATAACAAGCATGTCGTAAAAGGCGACTAAATAGGGGTTGCTGAAATCGGATGTGTTGGACCGATAGGCACATATATTGCAGCCTGAATGTCAATCACAACACGCTGTGCCTGCCCTTTTTCAAGGGTTAAGCCAGAATAAGAAGACGGCGAAGAAATACTGATAAGGCCAAGTCCATTTCTAGACTTTGGCTTTGTTCCAGGGCCTGAGTTTTGTGTGTGTGCATCCGTTTTCCAGATCTTGTTTACTTGTATGCAGACTGTTGTTTTCCTTCTTATTAGGAGGATGCACTCCGACTCTTAAGTAAGTACACAATTAGTCGACTCTTGCGACATGCTTGTTGGGGAGGCAGTGCGTCTATTCTTTTTTTCTCCACAGTGGGAACCTACATGGGAAGATACTGTCTGTGATGTCATTTTTAAAACAACATTATGGCGTTGAGTTTTATAGGTCAAGTTCAAGCAGGAACAGCTGAGACAGTCAGCTGACTACTATAAACATAGATAACTGAGTACAGAGAACAGCTGTTAACGTAGCCGTGAAGATATTTGTAGACGCGAACACTGTAAGACTTGATATTATTAATGCCCTCAGAGAAATTGGAAGGATAGAGGACTTTGGGGGCAGTGAATCCACATAACTTGTCAGAATGGCAGACTTGGGAATTAAGACTGGCATAGCAACAACAACAACAACAACAAACGAGACACACCAAAAGACTTGTTAACCAACAAAGAACTGGTACTATTAGCCATCGGACGTTAGGGTCTATGGACGTATCCGGAGTGCAATGATGATAACCCAACTAACTAACTAACTAACTAACTAACTAACTAACTAACTAACTAACTAACTAACTAACTAACTAACTAACTAACTAACTAACTAACTAACTAACTAACTAACTAACTGTAAGGCTTTTTAAAATGGAGCGTAAACTTTTCCCCCTTTTATTTGTTTCAACTCGCCAAATATCAAGCAACGTCTTCTTCGTAACGTTCACCAACTGTAAACATCGGTGGAAAGTTCCGTTGGTTTGTCCACTTTTGGACTTTAGTCTTGTTCTAAAACATGAACTTTGCCTGTACATCCGTTTTACAGATCTGGCTTATTTGTAGGCCGACTGTTGGTTCGTCACCTCTCAGGCAGATGTACTCTGACTTCAGAGAGCATCAAGAAATTGATCACGTATTTATTTTAAGTTGAAATATATAATACAGAACAACCCCATTAACACGAATTTAAAGTGACAAAAAAAAAGTCAAGAGTTCGTGTTTTAAAAAAAACTTCGTGGTTAACGGCAACCCAAATTAAAACATCATCGCAGGGACCAACATTTTTTTCATTTTAACCGAGTGTTGTTTTTTTAAAGCGAGTTCCTGTTAACAAAGTGTCTTTTTTAAACGTTCCTGTTAACGAGGTTTCGTTGCAATTATATTTCGCCCTTGTGGGCCGTCGTAATGTAGCAGACAGACCCTCACATGCGGATCGGAAGGTCCTGGGTTCGAGTTCTGACTGAGCCGGACTTTTTTTTTTATTAATATAAAAGACTGGCTCCCAGGTCACCCCAGCCTTGAGTGGGTACCAGATATAGTCCTGGGAAGTAAAGGGGACCGGCATGATGTTCACCACATCACTTGAGTGCCGATTGGTCTATAAAGTATAGGTCCTTTCAGAATAGTCTACCCCTGTGTGGGTTCCGGGGCCCCATTGTGATGAAAAGAATAGACCCACTGCCTCCCCAAAAGCATGTCGTAAGAGTCGACTAATTGAGGAGCTTCCTTTGAAGTCGGAGTGCATCTGCCGGAGAGGCAAGGAACCAACAGTCTGTATTCAAGAGAATGAGATCTGTAAAACTGATGCACCCGCATCACTCAGGTTCTGGAGTAGGACTGCAGTTCAGTAATGGACGAGCAACCAGAACTTTCCGCCAGAGTGTACAGCTGGTGAACGCGAAGAAGAAGAAGAAGACGAAGAAGAACAGTCTAGTTGCCCGATCTACTAACAGAAGATAGCTGGGAGTAATCATTTTTTTATTTTGTAAAAATCCTCATCATCCACTAAGAATCAGACCAGGTCTGCATAAGTTTTTACCCCCCCCTCCCCCTCCCCTCCCAGCCATCCACCCACGATAGTTTAATGAAAAATATGGACAGACAGATGGATGGATGGATGGATGGATGGATGGATGGATGGATGGATGGATGGATGGATGGATGGATGGATGGATGGATGGTTGGTGGCTGGAATATATGGATTCATGACTGTATTCATGGATGATAAATGGAGAGAAAGAGAGAAACTGGGAGGGAGGGAGAGAGAGAGAGAGAGCACTTTCAGACACGTTCTTTGATCATATCGTATAA